TTAACAGAGGTTCAGTAACTATCAGATCGCTGACTAACGAACATTATCCTCTTAGAAATACTTTTTGTAATATGATATATAGCAATCAAAAATAACCGGGACAGGGGAACTATAGTAGGGTAACACTACGAATTGCAAGAGAGCAATAGAACTAAGAGTACCTACTGATGTGTATCAATCACTTTTCAAATTTCGTTAAGTAACTTTCGTATTAGTATGTTTACCGAATAAGGATGGTTACTATATACAGTATAGAAATCAAAAGTAATTGGGACAGGGGAACTACAGTAGGATAACACTACGAATTGCAAGAGAGCAATAGAACTAATAGTACCTACTGATGTGTATCAATCACTTCTACCTTCTCAATAATATTTACATAAATCCTAGAGATCATTCATTTCTATACCAATTCAAATTTCGTTAAGTAACTTTCATATTAGTAATCGGGACAGGGGAACTACAGTAGGATAACACTACGAATTGTAAGAGAGCAATAGAACTAATAGTACCTACTGATGTGTATCAATCACTTCTACCTTCTCAATAATATTTACATAAACCCTACAGATCATTCATTTCTATACCAATTCAAATTTCGTTAAGTAACTTTCGTATTAGTATGTTTACTGAATAAGGATGGTTACTCTATACGGTATTAATGCTATGTTAAGGTTGGTGAGCGAAACTTTCAAATATACGTTTATGGTCAATTTGTTAATAAAATTAACAGATAGTATTATCATTCGATATTATATATATCCTAGTAACAGTAATATAATATGCTATATTAAGATTAGTTAATGGTCCAGAGCACATTATGATAACTAATGTACGGTGATGGACATACCAAGTTAAGATTAGCAGGTACTGTAAGATATCTACAGTGCGGTAGAATGTCCTTCGTACTGTGGTCAATTCTATACCAATCATTATAATGTGTCTAAGGATCGCTGTCGTATGCAAGCAAAGCTTGCTCTGTCGATAACAACCGTTATAAGAAAATGTAACAATCAAAATGGCTGTATAGAAACTCTATAAAGATTCTATGTTTATTCAATTTTCATCAGAATATTACATGAAATCAAAATTTAAAGGCCCAGTGGCCACCCTTAGCGATATAACGAATACTATTTTAATAATCAGTACTCTGCAGAAATTACTACCTTAGAGCTATTCGTTTTACATGAAGAAATCTTTAGGTTAAAAGTACTGTAAGAATCTTATACTGACCTATTGAAATGAACCCATAATCAGAGTGGGATATCTAGAATTAGATAAACAGATATATACTGTAGAAGATGGGCTATATATACATCTATATTAATATATACATGATGTTATCGCCGTCGGGTTTACTAGCCCTGACGTATCGGCATTTACTTCAGTAGGTACCTCCGTAGATGGAAGTGGCAGTCGAGAGTCCATCGATAGTGTAGCATACAAATTATTAGGGAAGAAGAGTATATTGATTCAGAATAGGAAAAGAGGGATAACCCGGGTTCTAACATCCGCTGGAGGGGATAACAACAACTGAACTCTTCGTTTAACTATAGATACATATACGAATATATATATAGTAACCAACCCAAACAGATTGCGTATTTATTGCTACTATTATACTGCACTTAATACATTATTACTTATCATGATAACTCAGACCAGGAAGTACACGTAGATTACAAATGCTTACATATACGTGTATAACACAAATGTATTGCAAATATAGCGATTGTGGTTCAATAATTCGATAACAATAAGTCACTACAGTATAGTAACTGATCCCAATCTATTTAGTTATATGGAACATACATCCGCGAATGTGAAATTTTCGATATCTTCTTGGATTTCTTCTTCGCCTTGTTGCTGAGAAAGCGAAACTTCAGGCCAATTTGATTCTTCATGTATAGTGGTCAATATATTCAAATCGAATAGGTCGTCCACAAATAACTCAGATGCCTGAAAACTTAATTCCTCTTCTTCATCTTCAACATTAGTATTATCTTCTTGCAGCATTTTTTCTAGTGTTTGTAACAAATCAATTACTTCTGCTTCATCCTCTGCAATAGCTGTTGGCATTTCTGTAGAAGAAATGAGATGATCCACATTGGTTGCATGTCTTTTTCTTTTCCTTGGTCTTTGATCATCTGGGATTTCTCTGTAAAGCATACTTTCAATCGTGCCGTACATTTGCAAATGATTGACAGTCCTCTCGTTTCGGATGATTGGCTTTGCGTTTGAAAATCTGAAAAATGAATTTTCATTGAGAGCAGCATGGCCTTTGAGCTTGTAAATCCAGCGCGTAAACTGTTTTATCGGTTGTCCATAATTGATAGTAGCCTTCCAAAAATGTAATGGCGTATAGGCTAAATCACTAGGGGCGAAAGCATCATCTTTGTAGAGCAGTATATCTCTATACAGTGCTCGACATGCATGTAAAA